TGTTTTCCTATGAATGGGTTGGACATTACAGGCTGAACAGCTGCATTCTCTCTCATAACCCCTGCCGGCTTGTTCACCGATCCCTGTCTGTGCTAGATGTTCACACTGCTGCAGGTCCTGCTTGGCTGCACTCATTTGCTATCCATCTGATGCCTGCATTCTTGCATTGCCTCCTATATTATTTATTTATTATTACAGATTTTATGCAGCGCTTTACATATATATTGTACATTTACATAAGTCCCTAACCCTCAAGGGGTGTACAATCTAAGGCCCCTAACTTACATCCATACATACACATACCAGGGCCAATTTAGACAGGAGCCAATTCACCTACCAGCATGTCTTTGGAGTCTATGGAGCATGTCTATATGCTGTTAATCAAGATTTTAGAATGTAAGTGTACAGTGCTCAGCATAAATGAGTAAACCTCTTTTGAAAAGTAAGATTTTAAGATTTTAATCAATATTTCAATGAATAATTTCCAAACATTTGACAAAACTGAGTTGTATAGAACATTTGTTTAGCTCATTACATGAAAGTAAGGTTAACAATAACTTAGATTACAAAATCTTCAGTTTTACTCAAATTAGTTGATGCAAAAAGGAATACACTCCACAACAAAAACCACTACATCTAGTATTTTGTATGACCTCCATGATTTGTAAGGACACCACCAAGTCTTCTAGGCATGGAATGAACAAGTTGGCGACATATTACAACATCTATCTTTTTCCATTCTTCAAGAACTACCCATTTGTTGAAATGGGTGAATTTCTAAAAAATGAATTGGAGGGTTGGAGTAAGACGATAGGAGAAGGTAATCAGTGGGCATTGTTAAATTTTACCATCCTGTAGGCAACTAGATTATGTGTCAGGCAAGTTAATAACAATAAACGGAAGAAAAAAAAACAATATGGTGCACTAAAGAGATAAGTAGGATAGTAAAGGAAAAAAAAACAGCATATAGGAGATTCAAGGAAACAGGAGGTGTAGCTGACAGAGAAGAGTATAAGAATAGACAAAAGGAGACCAAACACATTATCACTGCTGCCAAAGCACAGAAAGAGGAGAAAATTGCTAAATGTATTAAGAAAAGAGATAAAACATTTTTTAGGTACATTAGTGATACAAAGAAAAAATCCAATGGGATCACTATAATGAGAACTGGGCACAACACTTATGTTAAGGGAGACCTGGATATAGCAAACCATTTAAACAATCACTTTTGTTCAGTCTTCTCAGAAATAAATTATACTAACCATAATAATTTGGGAACTCATATTGGGTCTAGTAATGGTTCATTTTTAGGATTTCCGGAGCCAGAGGTAGCATAGGAACTGGCCCTGTTAAATTAATAAAATGGGCCCTGATCGCATTCATCCCAGAGTTCTAAGAGAACTTCGAGGTATAATTGTTGGACCATTAACAGGTCTTTTAATCGATCTCTTCTAACAGAAGAAGTTCCCCATGACTGGCAGAAGGGCTGATGATAAGGGGGTACCCCTGAGCCTCCTGTAGGGGACCCGGCCCCATCAGCTGCAGATGGGGGCCCGAGCAGCTGACAAGCCCATTTGCAGCTGCTAAATTTCATTGTTAGCCTCCTGTTGTTCTATCACACATCTGCTCAGTGTTCTGAATGTTGGTGCTCCTGCTCTGCTCCACAGGTTTGACACTTTCAAGTTTCCTTCTGTTTACATTTGATTGCAACTTTGTTTCTTTCCTCTCCCCCCCACTGCTGATCCCTTTCTGTTCACTGCTACAAACCTCTCTTTTCTTACACAACTTGACCCCCCCCCCCCCCCCCACCAACACCAACACTCTCACCACTTGTTCCCTCTACAAATCTATATATCACTGCTCAACATTTTTTATTAACTATTTATTTACTGATCTAATTAATGTGTCCCATTTCCTATCACCTACAGCTCAGATCTTATTATAAGATTCCTAATTGTATCTCACCTCTGATTGAATTCACAATTCCTGGTCAGTCCCGTTCCCTTACCTATAATAACCTTTAGAGCAAGTTCACACTACATGCGTTTCAGTTGCATTTTTCTGCATCCAAAATGCACAGAAAGTAGGTTATATGGTTGTCAATGTCATAGTTAACATCAGTGCTTGCAGTACCAGTGCGTTCCGGATGCAGAAAAAAAAAAGGAAAACATGCTGCATTTTTTCTGCACAGAACTGTACTGGAACGCTGTAAAAATGCACCAAAAATGCACCTGTACACACTGGAACACACCAAAAATGCACTGGAATGCACATGTCCCTATTTAAATTGCAGAAAAAGAGAGGGGGGAAAAACTGGAACGCATAAAAAAGCATTAAAAACACACCGGAATGTGCCAAAAATTAGTCAAAAGCGTGCATGCAAAAACCCATCTGGAACACATCTGAACTGCGTTTATATAGTGTGAACCGGCCCTTAGGGCCCGTTAACACTACATGCTTTTCAGTTGCTTTTTTTCTGCATGCAAAATGCACAGAAAGTAGGTTAAATGTTTGTCAATGTCATAGTTCACATCAGTGCATGCAGTTCCGGTGCATTCCGGTTGCAGAAATAAAGGACAACATACTGCATTTTTTCTGCACAGATATGTACTGGAATGTGGTATAATGCTCAGGAACGCAGGCATGCACCAAAAATGCACTGGAATGCACATGCCCCTATTTAAATTGAAGAAAAAGAGAGGGGATAAAAAAAATGCATCAAAAATGCACTGGAAAGTGCCAAAACTGCACTTTGAAAAATGCATCCAGAACGCATCTGGATTGCGTTTCTATAGTGTGACCCAGCCTTCAGGGCCAGTTCACACTACATGCGTTTCAGTTGCTTTTTTTCTGCATCCAAAACACACAGAAAGTAGGTTATATGTTTGTCAATGTCATAGTTCACATCAGTGCTTGCAGTTTCAGTACATTCTGGTTGCAGAAAAAACATGCATGCAAAAATGCATCCGGAACACATCTAGACCGGCCCTTAGGAACTGGTTCACACCATTTGTGGTGCAGAGTCGCATGCAAGAGCACACATTTTCCTGCACAGCAAAGAAAAGCAATGCCCTTTGCAGATGTGTGCAGGTACAATGAATACTTAATTGCACCTCCACACATCAAATAAACACAGATGCATTCACAGCTACCACAATGCATGGCACCACAGTACTATGTGGTTAGGTGCAACACGCTTTTAAAATATTATGCCTGCAATATTTTTGCATGTTCCCACGTTAGGCAACCCATTGAAATTAATGGGCTGAGGAAAAAAAATTGTCAAAAATGCCCCATTCACACAGGTCCTCTGTTCACGTGGCCAGAGCCACCTGTTATGCAATGGGGACACAGCAGCTGTATGAACACAGGTTTTCATCTGACAGGAATGAACTCGGTACAATTTTATCATTTAGATTTAACAGGAATGTTGTTGGGATTGTGTACATTAATACAGTTTTTAGTGTATTTTTACCATAAATATAATTCTGATATTTTCCCTGGCGGTAGGGGGGGCCCTGTCAGGTAGGCTGTACAGGGCCCCATGATATCTAACAGCGGCCCTGACTGGCAGACAGCTAATATTGTACCTATTCATAAGAGGGGCAGCAAGGTAGAAGCTGGCAATTACAGGCCAGTGAGTTTAACATCAGTTGTAGTCAAGTTAACGGAATCATTCCTGAAAAGAAGGATCATTGATCACTTAAAAACACACAGCTTGCTGGATCCAAAGCAACATGGCTTTACTGAGAACAGATCATGTCAAACTAAACTGATTGGATTGTTTTACTATATTACCAATGTTTTGGACTAGGCTGGCTCTGTGGACATAGCGTATCTTAATTTCAGCAATGATCCAATATAAAAGTTGTACAAATGAGGACTTCGCCCTTGGGTGGTGCAATGGATATGCAGCTGGCTAAAGGACAGATACCAGAATGTGGTTGTAAATGGGGTTCACTCAGAGACCAGTCACTAGTGGGGTACCACAAGGCTGTGTACTAGGTCCTGTTCTATTTAATCTACATATAAGTGATATAACGAAAGGTTTGTTGGGTAAGGTTTGTCTTTTTGCTGATTACACAAAGGTGTGCCATAGGGTTGATATCCCTGGAGGTGTCTGTAACATGGAGCATGATTTGGCATTGCTGGAAGATTGATCAAAGAAGTGGAAATTGCAGTTCGATGTTTCTAAATGTAAAATAATGCACCTAGGGAAAAATAATCCCTTGAGAGAGTACAAAATTGGGGGTACATTGTTGACCAGCACTACAGAGGAAAAGGATTTGGGGGTACTTATTTCAGATGATTGCAAAATGAGCAAACTGTGTGGCCAGGCAGGGGGAAAGTACTGTAAATAAAATTCTAGGATGCAATGCTGGAGGGATCACCAGCAGGAAGAAGGAGGTCCTGATTCCCCTATATAGATCTTTAGTTAGACCTCATTTGGAATAGTGTGTCCTGGAGATCTCACTTACAAAATGATGTTGATAAGATATAACGAGTCCAGAGGCAGGTAACAAAAATGGTGAAAGGTCTGGAGGATAAAACTTATCAAGAGCGACTTCAGGAACCTAATATGTACAGTCTGGAGGATAGAAGGGAAAGGGGAAACATGATTGAAACCTTTAAATACATCAAGGGAGTGATTAAGGTTCAGGAGGGCAGTATTTTCAATACGAAACCAAAATCAAGAACACGGGGACATGACCTTAGCCACTTGCATACCGGGCCCTTTAATCCCATTCCTGCCCAGGCCAATTTTCAGCTTTCAGTGTTGTTGCACTTTAAATGACAATTGTGTGGTCATGCAACGTTGTACCCATATTAAATGTTTAGTGTTTTTTTTTTCACACAAATAGAACTTTCTTTTGGTGGTATTTAATCACCACTGGGTGTTATTTTTTTTTGCACTATAAACAAAAAAGGGGCAAGGTTTCTATTATAAAATTTTGCAAACAAGTAATTTTTCTCCTTCACTGATGTGCATTGATGAGGCTGCACTGATAGGCAGCATTTATGGGCACTGATAGGCAGCACTGATAGGCAACACTGATGGGCACTAATGCACTGGTGGGCATTGATGAGGAGGTACTGAAGATCCTGCACTGATATGCAGCACTGATGGGCACTGGTAGGCAGGAATGATAGGCAGCACTGAAGGGCACTAATAGGTAGCGCTAAAGGGCGCTGACTGGCAGCACTGACTGACTGTGCTGATAGGCGGCACTGATGGGCAGAGATTGGCAGTACTGCAGGGCAGCACTGTTGGAAACTGATGGAAGCTGATGGATACTGTCGATAACTGGTAAATGCATTTACATAGTGGTCAGCTGTGATATGACACAGCTGATCACTTGACAAAAGGCCGCTGTAATTAGCTTTTTACATTTCATGTGATCAAAGGACACAGATCACAGACACAGAGCGCCAGTGGGTACACACGGGGGCTGCGTTCTGGGAGGACGTCCTATGACACTCTCCCAGAACTGAACTACCATGTTGTAGCTGTCTTACTATACTATAAACTATATATTTACTATATACCATTATATATATATATATATATATATATATATATATATATATATATATATATATATATGTGCTTCCCTCTTAGAAATGGCAGTATGGGGATGATTATAAATTAAAGTTTATGCCCTTCAGTGATTCAAATCAGCCCTGATGTGATGGGTATGTACCAGGCCTGGCAATATAGAATAATGGCTGTGCTAGGGGGTTGAATCTTACCCAGCCCTGGGAAGGCTCTGCAGTTGAGAAATACAGGATGTCTGCATCTGAGATCTCATATTCTATGAGCTATTTTTTAGGAGTACAGTAGAATGAAGAGAGCTGGTGGAATAAACGTATGTGCAATAGCATACTTAGCCAGGGACAAGCATTGTTGTATTGTATTCAAATTATATTCATCATTGAACTGCTGCTCAAAGGTAGAATAAATATACAGCAATAATCCAGTAAGGCAGCACTAACAATAAGCATTGAGATCTGGTGCCTTAAAGAATATGTTAACCCGACATTTTATATTCCTGATATGTGCCTGCTGTACCATGTACTTTGTGTTAAATCCCTGGTGTTCCTGCTAGTCCCTCTGCTTTCCTATTAACCTATTAAAAACTGAGTACACTAGGTATTAAAGCACAGAGTGGTCAGTTCTGTAGCTGTGCTGGGAATTAATTGTGCTCTCCTCCAATAATCAGACTTGTTCTGACACTACCCCCCACCCCCACCCTGCACAGCCATTCACTGGGAAGATTAGTGTTCTGCTGTTTTTCCTCCTCTAGCTCGTACGCAGTTGAGAACAAAGAATGTGATCACTTATTTAAAAAAAGGCGAAAAAGGGTATTTATAATTTTCTATACACATGTAGCGTCCTTCTAGGTGGCTAGGGGGAGCTAGACTCCAATAATTAGACAGGGGCTGAGTAGCAGCCCAGGTGTAATAGCCAGACTGGGGTCAAATTATGGTTAGGGCTGAGAGGCTCTGCAGACCAGCCCCTCTGGAAATTCCCCCTGCTCTGGAACTTTGGAGGGAGGCTCTAGAGGCAGTAGGTGAATCTGAGGAGTGGCTGACTGCACTATTGAGGGACCTCAGCCAATCCCCAAACAGGAGGTCGGAAAGGGGCTGGGAAACCCTTAAAAGTGTTGGAGCATACTCAGTAGCAGGATTATTATTATTATAATACAGGATTTATATAGCGCTAACAGTTTTCGCAGCGCTTACAATATAAGGGAGACAGTACAATTACAATATATTTAAGTACAGAAGGAATATGAGGGCCTTGCTCATGGAGCTTACAATCTAAAGGAAGGGGGAGGTGATACAAAAGGCGATAGATGCGGGGGATGATCTGGTGGAGGTGAATCAAGTACAGTTGTTATGTTGAGGTAGGGTAGGCTTCCCTGAATAAGTGAGTTTTTAAAGACCGCCTAAAAGCAGACAGGGTAGGGGCTGACCGGACATACTGTGGTAGGGAGTTCCAGAGGATGGGGGAGGCTCTGGAGAAGTCCTGGAGGCGAGAGTAGGAGGAGGTGATAAGGGAGCTGGAGAGGAAGATATCTTGGGAGGGGCAGAGTGGGCAATTTGGGCGGTATCTGTGGATGAGGTTAGCAATGTAGCTAGGGGCAGTGTTGTGGATGGCTTTGTAAGCTGTGGTTACTATTTTGAATTTTTTACGTTGGGTTAGTGGAAGGCAGTGAAGGGATTGGCAGAGAGGAGCAGCAGTTGCTGATCGGTTGGTAAGGTGTATGAGTCTAGCAGCAGCATTCATAATAGACTGAAGGGGGGATAGCCTGTGTAACGGTAGACCAGTGAAGAGGGAGTTGCAGTAGTCAAGGCGGGATAAAACTAAGGCGTGGATAAGTTGTTTTGTAGTGTCATTGGTCAGAAAGGGGCGGATTTTGGAAATGTCCTGGAGGTTGAAGCGGCAGGATCTAGCCAGTGATTGGATGTGTTGCCCAAAGAAGAGGTCAGAGTCTAGGATTACGCCTAGCACCCTGGCATGAGGGGGAGGAGCAATGGTTATGCTGTTGATCCTAATGGTAATGTCGTGAGTGGGGGATCGGGGAGGAGGAAATATTACAAGCTCGGTTTTGGAAAGATTGAGTTTGAGGTAGTGATGTGACATTCATGCTGATATGTCGCTTAGTAGATTTGTGATACATGAGGAGATTGAGGGGGTGAGCTGGGGAGTGGAGAGATAGATCTGGGTGTCATCAGCATAGAGGTGGTATTGGAAGCCATGGGAGGTTATCAGTTGGCCCAAGGAGGAGGTGTAGAGAGAGAAAAGGAGAGGCTCGAGGACAGAACCTTGGGGTACCCCAACAGAAAGAGGAAGAGGAGCGGAGGAGGAGGAGTTGTATGTGACATTGAAAGAGCACTGAGAAAGGTAAGAGAAGAACCAGGAAAGAGCAGAGTCACAGAGGCCGATGGAGTGGAGTTTACTGAGGAGGAGCGGGTGGTCGACTGTGTCAAAGGCAGCGTTAAGGTCAAAGAGTATGAGTATGGAGTAGTGGCCATTGCTTTTAGCAGTTAGTAGGTCGTTAGTGAGTTTTAGTGGGGCAGTTTCTGTGGAATGATGTGGGCGGAAGCCAGACTGTTGGAGATCAAGAAGGTTGTTGTCGGTGAGGTAGCAGTTTAAACGGTTGTGAACAACACGCTCGAGAAGTTTGGAGGCAAACGGGAGCAGGGAGATGGGTCTTAAGTTATTCAAACAGGTGGGATCCAGAGAGGGTTTTTTGAGAATGGGGGGTAACCAGTGCATGTTTGAGCGGGGAGGGAAAGGTGCCCATGGAGAGTGAGAGGTTGAAGATGTGGATTAGAGAGTTTAGGACAGAGCGGGGAGGAGGCTGCTACAGTCGTGAGGGGGCAGGATCCAGGGGACAGCAGGTGGTGAAGTGGGCCTTGGAAAGGAGTTTGGTAACTTCCTCAGCAGGATAGTTCAGGTGGAAGATGGAGATGGGAGGTTGAGGTGCAGGAGCGTGGGAGGGAGCCCAGGCTGGAATGGGCTTACCTCCAGGCAGAGGGACGTTGAAGGGAAGAAACTGTAGTGTCAGGTACCTACCTCCGGTAGCTCTAGTGCTCCACAGACCGGCTTTCCCCAGGGCGCGGAGTCTAAGCCCCAATCTGCTTGTTCACCAGAGCCCTTGATGGTGGGGATGGACTTGGAGCAGACTGAGATCCGGTCACGGCCCCTGAGTACACCCAGCTGTGGTAGAGCGAACCGCTGGTGGCACATAGCAGGATGAGAGCCTGATGTGAAGAGGCAGAGCAGTCCATGCAAAATGGATGGACGGAACACACTGGAACAATAGCGGAGTCAGACAGGCCGGGTCGATAACGGTGGAGGCAGAGCGGTACAGAGCAGCAGGCAGAGGGTCGTCAGGTCACAGGCCAGGTTTAGCAGCAGGAGATCAGACAATCGGGAACAGGCAGAAGAATGGTCAAATGAGCCAGAGGTCAGGGCAGGAGAAGGTCAGCAATGGTCAGGATCAAGCAGGATTCGGCAACAACAGGAACTCTCTCAGGAACAGGAACAACAAGGAACAAGACCATACGGCAATGTGAGCATTGCAAGAGCTGGTTTAAATAGCCCGCCTGGCGCCGACAGGCGCCCCTGGGTCCTAGTGCCTGCCCGGCGCCGTCATTGGTGACAGGTGCGCCTGAGTCCTAGTGCCCGCCTGCCTGTATGTCTTGTCGGGATCCTATGCATGTGCAGATTCGTGCGCCACGGCGAAACTTGGGATCTCTGACATGTAGACTTCACCGGCCCCCTGAGAGAGGACAACCTGGCGGCAGGGAAGGAGCAACCCAGTTGATAGGCCTGGTAGTAGCCACTTACCCAACAGCAGCAAAGGAGAACGACTCAGTGAGTACTCTGAGTGGCTAGCTCTCCTAGAAGAGGATTTCTGTGTAAAGACTTGTGATATAGTTCATAGTTACCCTTGGGCATCCCATATACCCCTTGCCCCATCCAAGTTCTACATCTCCAATAAAACAACAAAACCAAAGATCAAAGGACTGGTTTTCTGTCTCCTGAAGCAAGTCTGAATGGAAAATGTGTGATGCCTAGCTGTGCAGGACTATAGGGGGACCAAATTCTTTAGCAACTCCTAAGTTTTGTTTTGCCTTTCATTTCTCTTTTAAACTGAATGGGTTGGTTTACAAGGTGAGGGTTTACATATACTAAACTTACAATCAGTTTAATTCCCCTCCCTTAGCAAATCATACACTAACTTTGTCAGTTTCTGGTGGTTTGTCATCTGTATCTAAAGGAAGATTTCCTCAGGGCACTTAGCTTGCGTCAGCACAAGATCTCTCAGGGAACTACATGTCAGCACAGGTCCACAGATTGTTGGGCACAAAAATGTGCCTGTCTGCATTTATTGTCTATCAATGTGTGAAGCTGCACTGACAAATGTAATTTTCTGCTGTATCCACCGTTCATCACAGACATGAACAGAGACCTGCACAACAACAAGTGACAACTTAGGGGCACACTATAGGGGTGGGCTAAGTTTGCCCTTGCTACAACATCAGTAAAAACATCTCATTGATCTCATGGTGCCAATACACAAGACAAAAAATTGGTAGAAAATCTGTCATTTGGATAGTATGTTTATTTTTCATCAAGTTAATGGGCACAAACAGAAAATCAGTTTTGACTGTTTGTATTGCGCATACAGTCAGGTCCATAAATATTGGGACATGGACACAATTCTAACATTTTTGGCTCTATACACCACCACAATGGATTTGAAATGAAACAAACATGATGTGCTTTAACTGCAGACTGTCAGCTTTAATTTGAGGGTATTTACATCCAAATCAGGTGAACGGTGTAGGAATTACAACAGTTTTGCATATGTGCCTCCCACTTATTAAGGGACCAAAAGTAATGGGACAGAATAATAATCATAAATCAAACTTTCACTTTTTAATACTTGGTTGCAAATCCTTTGCAGTCAATTACAGCCTGAAGTGTGGAACGCATAGACATCACCAGGCGCTGGGTTTCATCCCTGGTGATGCTCTGCCAGGCCTCTACTGCAACTGTCTTCAGTTCCTGCTTGTTCTTGGGGCATTTTCCCTTCAGTTTTGTCTTTAGCAAGTGAAATGCATGCTCAATCGGATTCAGGTCAGGTGATTGACTTGGCCATTGCATAACATTCCACTTCTTTCCCTTAAAAAACTCTTTGGTTGCTTTTGCAGTATGCTTTGGGTCATTGTCCATCTGCACTGTGAAGCGGCATCCAATGAGTTCTGAAGCATTTGGCTGAATATGAGCAGATAATATTCCCGAAACACTTCAGAATTCATCCTGCTGCTTTTGTCAGCAGTCACATCATCAATAAATACAAGAGAACCAGTTCCATTGGCAGCAATAAATGCCCACGCCATGACACTACCACCGCCATGCTTCACTGATGAGGTGGTATGCTTAGGATCATGAGCAGTTCCTTTCCTTCTCCATACTCTTCTCTTCCCATCACTCTGGTACAAGTTGATCTTGGTCTCATCTGTCCATAGGATGTTGTTCCAGAACTGTGAAGGCTTTTTTAGATGTCGTTTGGCAAACTCTAATCTGGCCTTCCTGTTTTTCAGGCTCACCAATGGTTTACATCTTGTGGTGAACCCTCTGTATTCACTCTGGTGAAGTCTTCTCTTGATTGTTGACTTTGACACATATACACCTACCTCCTGGAGAGTGTTCTTGATCTGGCCAACTGTTGTGAAGGGTGTTTTCTTCACCAGGGAAAGAATTCTTTGGTCATCCACCACAGTTGTTTTTCCGTGGTCTTCCGGGTCTTTTGGTGTTGCTGAGCACAACGGTGCATTCCTTCTTTTTAAGAATGTTCCAAACAGTTGTTTTGGCTATGCCTATTGTTTTTGCTATCTCTCTGATGGGTTTGTTTTGTTTTTTCAGCCTAATGATGGCTTGCTTCACTATTAGTGACAGCTCTTTGGATCTCATCTTGGAGTTGACAGCAACAGATTCCAAATGCAAATAGCACACTTGAAATGAACTCTGGACCTTTTATCTGCTCATTGTAATTGGGATAATGAGGGAATAACACACACCTAGCCATGGAACAGCTGAGAAGCCAATTGTCCCATTACTTTTGGTCCCATAACAAGTGGGAGGCACATATGCAAACTGTTGTAATTCCTACACCGTTCACCTGATTTGGATGTAAATTCCTTCAAATTAAAGCTGACAGTCTGCAGTTAAAGCACATCTTGTTCGTTTAATTTCAAATCCATTGTGGTGGTGTATAGAGCCAAAAATGTTAGAATTGTGTCCATGTCCTAATATTTATGGACCTGACTGTATGTGACAAAGCAAATGAAAAAACTGATTCATTCATGTCTATTGAATGATTTATTGTTCGCAAATGGGTCATTACATTGTAGCAATATTGCTTGCTCTCACAACCGTGTGTTCCTTTTTCAAAAACATGTTCAAAGGATTTTTTGAATAGTGTATGGCTAGAATTACAAAATTACTTTTTGTGGCCTCACCACTGTCATATTTCCTTAACAAACTGATAAGCAGGTAATTTTTTTATGAATGTCACAGCTATGGGCTCTGTGCTACTGTTCTGCTCCAAAAACGTTTATTAGATAGGGTTGGCATCAGGGGCGGACTGACAACTCATGGGGCCCCCGGGAAATCGGGGATCATGGGGCCCCTGTGTCCTTGCCCAAACTCAACAAGCCTATGAAAAAGGTACCAGGGGCATCTCATGGGGCCCCCTACTGACCCCGGGCCCTCGGGCAGTGCCCGAGTTTCCAAATGGTCAGTCCGCCCCTGGTTGGCATCATAGGTTGTCTGCACAGTGCATGGACATGAACACTAACCAGGAATATAAGCATCGAAGCACTCATCTACATCTTTTTGGTTGTTAATACACAACCATAACTTGTATATGAGAGACCCTCAGCGCAATGGACCTCCTATGAAACAAGTTTTGCAGCTAGCATGTACTGTGTTTCCACATGTAAGTAAATGACATGCATACAGTAAATGGAAAAAAAAAATGCAGCGCAGTGCTAAAAATTCAAATATGGTGCTAAATAAATCCAACGTGCATATGTGAATCTTCACATGTGCTTTTGAAGATATTGGAGTGTTAAAGGGACAGTTCATTATTTTGTATGGTTCATTTGATATTTGCATCTACTATGCATTTAGCACTGGTATATGCAGTTTTATGGATATATGTTGATATTTATTTTGATGTAGCACATATTATTCTCCCAAATCACAATTTTCTGTTTTCACTGTTCACATATGCATGTTGGATTTATTTAGCACCATATTTTAATTTTTAGTACTGCGCTGCATTTTTTTTTTTTTTTTTATGATACACAACCATAACTCCCAACCGTTCCTCTTTTGGAACCAAATCCCTCTGTCCCTCTTTCTTCCCCAGTTGTCCCTATTTTTGGCTTGATGTAATCGCTATAACAAAATGTATTATGTGACTATGAAAAGTGTTTTAAACCTTTTATCCAATCTCTAATTTATTCTATCTTTTATTTTGAAAAGCCAAAATAGAGGAAAAGTAGTAAAGAAAATAACTGGTGAAACCAACCAGCACATTATTATTATTATTATTATACAGTATTTATAAAGCGCCAATAGTTCGCTCAGCGCTGTACATTACAAAGGGGGACAGAACATGTGACAGAACAATACCAATACAATGCAAAACATGAGGGGATTGAGGGCCCTGCTCTTTCGAGCTTACAATCCTCCTGGCCTTTGTTAATGGAGTCATGGCCCAGCTTGCTATTTTCCTATATATTTCGTGCTGTATCCTTCTTTCCCATCTCACAAAGTGGGGAGGTATGCACAACCAATTGTCATCTTTTTACCAATGGAAAGTTTTCTCATCTTTCCTTAGAAATCTAAATCCTTAGTTGGGAATGCTTTTGTACAAAATCTGTGTTGCATTTACAACCTTCACTCTGCACCAGGTACAACCGGTTTGAATTTTATACCTCAATTTTCTTCTGTGCAACTCTGCAGTCATTGTTAGTGCTTCATAAATAAATTATTTTCATAATTCACCACACTAGGTTTTTCTGTTAGGAGAGGCTGATAAACAGTAACTTAAGTGTATTCATATTGCTCCAGGGTATTGGGAATGTTTTCTGAGTAATGGTGCAAATCTCTGCTTCCTCCTGTCTGTGGCATTGTGCCTAATGAATTCCAGCATACCTGAATCCAAGATGATGCGTGCCCAGCTGCTAAGTGCTGAGTCAATGAAACCTCATCCCAGCTATTGTCAGCTCTGCAGTGAACGCTCCATTCAGGTGAAAGTCTGTCCCCAAGTGGCAACAATGAGTATTGTTAGTACATGTCTAAAGCCAATTTTCATGTTGTGCTTGTAAGCTTTTATTGCAGGAAGGGTGTGCCATATGCTACTTGCTATCCAAAAATACCCCAAAGGATTTATTTTGTGAGTACGTGTAGATAATTAATGACTCAGATACACTGTGTGACCAATTAATCACCTAGACTCCGAAAATATTGTCTATCAAGAGCTTCCTAGAGTATGATATGTCTTTAAATGCAAAGAGGTTTCAAAGACAGTTGTGTTTTGCAATATAATTTGTGGTACGTTAGTGTGAAGTCTGAGGTATTAAGTGTGAATGTGAATCAAATTGTATTGTCTGTTGCAAAAGTAAAAAATAATTACCAGTTGACTTTGACAGAAATCTAGTGAGTTGGTAACTTTCTGTGCAAATCTAAAGCAGTATTTTTGCAGCACCGCCCCATTCATATTTGCCCCAGTGTGGAGATGAGGAGAGAAGGACATGTTTTGTAGTCATAAAACATTTCCTGTCCTAGGGTGACTCTGCTTTGTAGCCAGGATAAAAAGCATGTTTCTGGCATGACAAAAGGTGAAACAAGCAAAGAAAAAAAGCCTGAGAAAAGAAAACTAATGCAACCAGCACATCTGGCTGGTAAGCTGCAATATAAACATTTTACCATGTATATAAGTGTAGTGCAGTGCATTGCAGTGGCATTCATTTTGCAGCAGATGATAACACACATGCAGTGCAGGTCCTACATTGTAAAAAGGTAGTGTAAGTATTTCTCTCTGCACTGGGGTATAGAGGAGGGGGAATGGTAATGATGTTAATCTTTTTCATTTTTTAACTTGCATGTTCATTGATATTCTTGCTTGCAATCCTGAAAAAAGGCAGGATGAGATCAGCATGAAGAAAGCATGCACTGGTAGAAGCAGAGGCAGTAGAGGCTGAAGGTGTGTAGTCAGGAGATGGCAGCAGTAGCAGAAGGACATTAGCCTGGGAAGGGCAGCAGTGGGCAAAGGAGAGCAGCCAGGAACTAGCAGTGGTGGCTAAAGGACATTAGCCAGGGGTAGGCAGTGATGGCCTAAGGAGATCAGCCTGGGGTCGGTGGTGGTGGTGGCTGAAGTAGTGGAGGCAGAGCAACAGAGGCTATTAGAAGAGAAGCTGGTAGCAGTAGTTTAAGGAGGAGTGTACATTCTTTATGAATGGCTGAATGGTTGAGATTGGTGGTCTGTCAGCAGTTATTCACACCATTTCATTAATAGCCAATGTCAGACTTTACTGTATTTTAAGTTAATGATTCCTAACGCAAACATGTGCTTATGACTTATTGTCAGGGAATGTCTGATCGATTAATTTAGTCAGCTATATCAATCGTTTAATCGATCAATAAACAACAGTGCCTTCAATACAAAAATAATTTATAAAAATTAATTAAGCTGACTTAATTATTCCCAATTTATTTTGCCCTTGCAGAAATTCTTTGAATAACGCAATATAGCCGCTTGTAAGTGTGTTTTTCAGATTATTAAAAATATATATATATATATTATTATTTTACAGAAGTCACTTTACAAACACCATAAATAATAGCCAGATTGGGATATGCATAGACATTAAGATCTTGCAATGAAGTTCTAAAATGTATCCTGTTGCAGTATGGTATATATACACAGATTGATTTCAGTAATTAATTCCCCCTTTTGTAGATACCCTAACTTGTTTTTACAAAATTTGGTAGACAATAATCTGCGTTTGACTAATTCGGCTCTTGAACCCACTGCAGTCAAATTCCCAGGTGTAGTCCATCTAAAATTCTTCCAATACAACACATTAAAATGACCAAATTTTGTTGTGTTTAGGATATCTAATGCTATTTTTATATAGCTGCAAATAGTACACTCATAAAAATCGCCCAGAGGGTGTAATGCTACTTCTCATTGGTACATCATGCTACTGATTAATGTTTTGTGTGATCAGTCAGTAAATTACCTGACCAAAAATGCATATCCTCGGGTTATCAGGGAGAATCAAAATCTTCTATAATACCTAATCTGTATAATAACTAATGTTTATAGGATACTAATTTTTATACAGATTTAACAATGTTATTTTATCTAAAAGGCATAAACTGTCTTAAGGGTCTGGCAGCCTTATTTATGATTTGTTTATTTTGGGCATAGCAACATTTTAAATGGAAACTTTTGGCTACTGAGAGGTCTAATTTCATACATAACAATTAAAAGATTAATATTAAATTATTATTTGAGTATGGCTACATTGTAACATACACATATATTTCTAACCATAGTGATTACAAACAAACATAACTGTAGTAAGTTTACTAATCCTTTTACAGCAGTATGATACTTTATCATGCATAGAGATATGACTTGACTAGTGTCTTGATACTTTACCATCTTTTAGTCTCCTCCTAAAATATCCCAAAAATATAAAGTTTTATTTTATATGTCAAGCTCCTTCCAAAAAGTTTCTTGCAGGCTGGCTTATTGGTTAACGAGTCTCCTCAATCAAGGTTGAGATTTCTGCAAGTTGAATAGCAGACACTATTCTTGACTCTTGGTCAGTTGTGAACAGGTATAGTTCAGGTTTGCATTCACGAGCTAACATAGTACATTATAAAACATAAAAATGCTGCGCTACATTCAAAACAATTATGTGAATGTGGGATCCAACATCTCAAATCAAAAATGTGACAATAATGATAACAATATAAATATATACGTGCTTACTGATAATCAAAATATCAAAAAAATCACCCAAAAGATGAGAAACACAAAACTGTATATATACGTATGTGCATGAACACACATACATATAATTAAATCACACGTGCATATTGTGAAGTGAAAAAATAACCATAATAATGATACACGCAAACTCAAAGTCCAAAAATAAAATGTTGTAGGTGAACAAAACAGTAAACGGTGCTTCCAAATAATACTGTTAGTGACCACGGGTGAAAAAAATCGTGCAGGTATCTGGGTGTATATAGATCTTATGAATCCAACCACCTTCTGGATTAGCCTCTCACCTCATCCCTTCGACCCTTGCGGATCAAAGAGCAGTAATGGATCCCTCTCACAGATCCTCCAGGCACCAAAGCACTCCAAAAACGCTTTTCAGGATATAATATTCCCACTTAGGCTCTTCTCCAGGAAAAGTTGAAATATCAATCTCTCAGAATGAGAAAAAGGAATCCTCCCATAGTGCAGTATATTTATTATACCATAGGAACATGTAATATCTTATAAAAACGAACTTACGTAGCAGCCAGTCCACATTAGAACCTCATGCTTTCAGATGAGGATATATCTGTTGGGTGTACAGCTGAACACACAGGTGTACCAAGATGGCCGCCACGCCGGAAATACGTCACTGCGCTACGCCGACGCGTTACGTCACAATGTCACGTGACTTCATCAGGGCTGTCAATCACAGTGACGATCACTCTTTATATACCCGGCCAGATAGAGAGAACCACCCACATAGGAGGTG